AGAGACGGGGTTTCACCGTGTTGACCAGGATGGTCTCGATCTCTTGACCTCGTGATCCACCCGCCTCGGCCTCCCAAAGTGCTGGGATTACAGGCTTGAGCCACCGCGCCTGGCCTTGCCTAGGTATTTTCAAAGTGGGTGGTTTCATGTTTGAGCAGAAAGATCACACACTGCCCTTTCCTGCTGGCCTCCCTCCTGAAGCACAGGCCTCCAAAATCCCAAAGACAGGATTTACCTCTTTGCTAACCCCTGGACCGTGGCCATGGCCCTGCACAACCCTTGGTCTGGTCCTGTCTGCCACTCAGAGCTGGGCTGGCTCACGGGCCCCATTTCTGCTGAGGAGGAAGGGCTCATGTCTGTTCTTGAGTTGGCAGCCATGGGAACAAGCTCGTCAGGACTGGTTGTCACCCAAGTCCACATGAGAAGCGCACAGAGTCCTGTTCCATGAGCAGGGGGAGTTGGCCACACTTCCAGGCTCCCATCTGCCAAGATTGTGGTGCCTGCAGACCCCTAACACTTCCCTGACAAGCCTCAGCTGGTCCCTTTCTCTCCAGCGTGTCTCCTCCCCACACCTCCCAGCAGGCTCCCCTCCCTTCGCTGGGGAACATAAGCCCAGTGTTCTGAGACTCAGTACGTTCCGCGACAAGCATCCAACTGAAAGAGGATGTTCCGCATTGCAGGTCTCCATGTGCAGGCTTGGCGGTCTCATGCACAAGCCTGGCAGGCTTCTCTGCATGTGGACACACAGGGCTCACTCCTGAGGCTTGGACTCTCTTGCCCCGAATTTCAGCTTACTTCAGCATGTTCATCTGTGCAGATACGCCTGCTACTGGCTTCTTTTCCAGAATATTCTGTTTTGTGTCATGCTATGGCTGGGACAGGGCGACAAATTCCATAATATATTGACCAGTTTTCAGCACAGGATGTGGTCAGAAAAACACCAGAAATAGGCCGGGCGCAGTGGCTCACGCCTGTAATCCCAGCACTTTGGGAGGCCGAGGTGGGCGGATCACCTGAGGTCAGGAGCTCGAGACCAGCCTGGCCTAACATAACCCCATCTCTACTGAGAATACAAAAATTAGCCAGGCATGGTGGCGCATGCCTGTAATCCCAGCTACTTTGGAGTCTGAGGTAGGAGAATCACTTGAACCTGGGAGGCAGAGATTGTAGTAAGCCAAGATCATGCCACTGCACTCCAGCCTGGGTGACGAGCAAGATGCTG